TAATCCATTCCGGCGTCCGCAGACCACGTGTCAGGGGCGGAAAAATGGCCGCGGACCATGTGGAACGGGCGGAAAATGGCTCGTAAGTCGAGGTGAATTCGTAAGTAGAGGTAAATTTTTGGGGCCAGAGCTGATCGTATCTCGAAAATTTCGTAAGTAGGGGCATTCGTAAGTAGAGGTACCACTGTATATAAAAAGGGGAAAAACCTGTTATAAAAGCCGTTTGAATGTTCATGCCATGAGAAGCAGCCTCTGAGGGTTTCCCATTCATTCCTCAATAGCAGTTTGAAGTCGGTCCATGATCTTCAGACCAGTCAGTTGGCTTTACAATGCTGAGCACAGCAACAAAAATCACTGCCTTGTCTTGAGCGGCAGGGAGACCGACTGAGGCAGGAATGGGGAAACAGATAAGCAAAAATGAGATGGTTGGAGTTGGGTGTCATCAAAGCCAATTGAATAAAAATAAAAAGTAAAAACTTCACAGAGTTGCACCTTATTAAAAAAAAAAATGGCTTTACTGAGCCAGAAACAAATCAGCTCTGCTGCCAAACATTAACCAATGTTCTAGAGTCAGAGGTCCAGGGCTGCTTTCAAACTGATGCAAAGTTTTTTGTGTGAAAGCATCATTTTCTAAAAGTGGTTAAAAAAGTATGCATTTTCTTTTTCTGGCCAAAGTTTTCTAAATAGTAATTATATGGCTTGCATTACATGGTGTGACAGAGATCCAATACTTACATAATTTATGATAAACTACAGTATATACTTCATTTTACAATATAGCACACATAACAATAAAGGAAGTATATTTGCACATTACAGGAAAAAAAATATCAAGTACGGTACATATCCAGGCCCTGTAATTATGGGCTTCTATCCACATTCAAGACAATGTACTTGGGACAGCATCATGGAAGGACAGTTCTTGAGAGGTGAATATTTTATGTCTCTACACTTAACCCAATTTAGGCAGAAATACAAACTTTCAAACTGTGTTAGAGCTAAGGATTTTTTTTTCCCCCAGAAAAAACTGGCAATGTTAATATGATTAGCTGGCCTTTGTGGCAAGTCTTCCTTCCTTCCTTCAATTCTTTCTACCCCATCCTATTGAGCAGATCCCAGATCAAAATGCAATCAGTAAAACAAACCAACTCTACTCCCCCGCCCAAAATAACAATTATACACATTTTATTTCACACAAACATACCATGTTTGTGTGAAATGTTTCAGGCAGTGGTCTGTTTAAAGCATGCTGGCTGGGGAATTCTGGGAGTTGAAGTCCACACATCTTAAAGTTACTGAGATTGAGAAACACTGGTT